TACCCTTTTCAAGTTTGCATTCTCTATGTATCTCTGCAACATTGTGAACTAATCCCTCAATTTGACAGCTGAAATAGTCATCAAAATAGTCTTTACATATGTATATATATTGCATTTTAAATAAATATATATAAATTTATATATACAACAAGCTCAACATAGTCAATTTCTTCTTTATATTTACTCAACGTAAAAATAAGCTCCTATCTGAATGAATTGCAAATTGTCTTAATGCATTTTATGAATTTCAATAAAGTTCTTTTTTCTTGCATCAATTAAATGAGAGTAAAATGAATTTAGTAAAATCTAATTTATAAATATGAAGTTGGTCGTTTATTAGCTTTGCTGCTGCCAATTAGTTTGCAAAATTTGCCAGATGCATCGCCAAACGGTTTTTGTGCATTGCTGGCCAATTTACCAATAACGAAATAATTAAAACAATTAAAATTTCATTTTCAACTATTTCTGCTGCACATTTCCGGTTCACCAGATGTCATTTGCACTTCGGCCACTTGGCCATGTCGAAGTCGTCTCTGGGTCTGGTCAAAGGAATTACACCGATTTAATTTAAAAGTTTACACACTCTGACTTGCTTGAGGGGGCGTGGCTGGCAGTTGGACGGCAGGGGACGTTGCAGAGGCGATAAGCTGGCTTCTGGCTTTGAATGCTGGCAACATGCAGTAAATTAAATTTTTAACTTAATCTATAGAAAACGTTTCCCATTGCCCTGGCTGAGATTTTGATTGCCAGAGAGAGTTGCCTGCCTGCCAAATTGGCAAGTATATTTTGGCATTTTGTTTCATTTTACTTTTAGTCGCAACTAACGCTAAAAGGTAAAAACAGCAAGCGCCCCATTTTAGCTGCTCCTGCTCCTGCTGCTTGTTGTTTCTGTTTTCACGGCAAACTTTTGAGCGCACATTAATTAGAAGCTGCCACGCTTGGCAGACACGCGCTCCTCCGTCGCCAGAAAGTTGGGCCAGTTGGGCCAGGCCCGAAAAGTGCAACATGTACGCACAAAGTTCTTGGTTTGAGTTGCTTTCACAGTTTGAATTTAAGTTTTTATTTTGACTCTCTCTCTCTGCCTCTCTCGCTCTCTATACATAGGGTATATACCTATTGTGTTGCCATAATACGGAGCTATGATACTCATATGTGTGGGTGTCGATCGGCATTAGTTTTGTGCTCTCAGGCTCTATAAATATTCCAGTAGAATGATAACTCAACTGGTGCTCAAAAATATTGGTAAATATTAAATTTAATGAAGATTTTGTTAAACTTCTAGAAGATATATTTTTTATCTATCTAGTTTCTATCTATCTATGCGATAACTTTTCTTTACTTTATGATATATTTATTATAATATATGAAATATGATGATGTAAATATAAACATAGATGCAGTCGAATCCCGAAAGTTAAGTTTTTTTTTTTTCGCGAACAAAGTCTTTTGCTGGGGATAGAATTTTACCCATTTATCACCACTTGACTTTCAGCACTCATTGTCAGTTCATCGGCATCAGCGTAGAGGTCTCAGGACGAATCAATATTCTAGTAAAATATCCCAAATATTCCAAGGAATATTTATAAATCAAGAACAAATATCATTTGCAGGGTATTTCCAAGTCAGGCCCTCTGCATGCTTCCCTTTACCTTATGCTCTCGCCGTTTTCGGCAAATGTTCGGCTAGATGCTTTTAATTAAGGCACCCGACAGCGTCATGGCCCATGCATTTTGGCTAAGCAGCTGCTACGGCGGAGCCCAACGTCTGCCAGTTGCATTATGCTGGCACTTGCCGATGGGCGTTCGCCTCAGTGGCGGCGGCAACAAGGTGTTAACATTTTAAAGTTGCCTTTAATTTTGTTAAAAGCGCAGACAAACATATGCCCGCAGAGATGATGGCGGCTGGCGGATGGCGGACGGCAGGGCTAGCTGAGGAACCGTTATAAATAACGCAATCTTCACGCACGTAATTCAAATGGCAGCTAATGGGCGTCGGTGTGGGCGCTGTTGTTCAGCGCTGCGTCGCGTCTCATTTAGCGCACGTATCCAAATAATGACCCAAAATGATGGCGTTTAATTCAAATGAAGCGTCTGCGCTGATGACCAACATTGCGTCCAGCAAAAAAAAAGAAACGCATGTACTCAAGCTATAGTAATGTGGTAGACGAGCAAATATCCTGTTTTTGAGAGATAAGGATAGTTTAAAATTCTAATCTTAATCTGTGAAAGACGAGTCTGAAACAAATGTCAATCAAAATCTAGAACAAATCTCAATTGTCAATAGAATTTCTAGTGAATTTGATATAAAATTAATTGTGAACAATTAAGAAAGCTCTATTCGAATCTGCTGGACTACGAGAGACCCTGAACCCATCGATCAACTTATAATATAATAATTCTTTGTTTTTTCTGTTTACGCAGGAATTATATAAAATATCGAAATTCTATAAAATACACATAAAGCTATATTTAAAACTTGGCAACTCTACCTCTAAGGATGTAGGAGATATAATTCTTTAACTTACTCTCGATCAGCTTTTTAATCGATAATAACAAAACGGGATTTGTTGTCGATTTTCGGAAACACACTTGATCTGCGCAGGATATAGGCGGATCTAAGAAAACCAATTCCAAGTCCTTAGCTCTTATATCTCTTGAGAATAAAGTCTTCGTCGTCCTGATCATGTGTACATATACTTAATGGACTCTGCCATGCGTCTTTCTGCCTGTTACACACATTTAACAAAGCCAATATAACCTGATTTAACATTTTCAATGGATTTAGGGTATAAATATGCTCAGATATACCCTACTCTACTCATCCTTCGCAGGATATACAAAGCTGCGTGAGCTTTGTAAATAAAATGGAATGAAATGAAATGTTTTATCAACGTGCCAAGCGCACTAAACAGCATTGCCCGCCTGTCGGCCGACCAGGCCACTCTCTGAATGATGGCCCTTTGACCACGTGAATGCTGTGTGGGTAGATGGGGGTTGGGGGATGGTACAACAAATAGAGGGTGCATGCAGCGGTTCGAGCTACGCTTATTATCGCTGTGCCCTCCCGCTCCCATGTGATATTTGTTGTTGTAATTGTTTTGTTGTCGTAAATGCGAAGATAGATTGCAATTGCCACAGGCCATTACCAATGGAAATTACGCACAATGCGAGAACAAACCAAATACGAGTGGGCATAGAAAGAACTGCCCGCCGTGGACGGCAGCCAGCAGCTAGCAGCAGCGGGCAGCACTCGCTTCAAAATGCTTGTCATTAAATTAAAAATAAACGACAATATTTTATGCGCCTATAAATATGCAACGCACAAAATGTTACGGAAAGCGAGCATCTGCTATTTTATTCGTTGTTGTTGTTGTTGCTGTTGCTTTTGTTGTAGTTGCTTGAATTGTTGTTTTTATGTCTTCTTTATGTGTAAGGCATCGTTAGAGTTAAAGTTTGCTGCCCGCATCTGTCTCAGACACAGGTGTGACCATGGCCAGAGATTGAGCGCCACAGAGAAATAAATGAATGTATGTATGTGCGCGTGTGTGTGTGTGTGTGCGAGTGATTTGCTAGAGTCCTGCCCATTCCAACACAAACCATAAATTGTAAAAACAAAACAAGAGCTATTTCCTAATCTCTCGATTTGAATAAAATATTTATTATAAAATTTCACTTGGCTATGAAGGATTTGGCCAACGTTCTTCTGGCCATCAATTTATTTCGAATATTCAAATAAAATATTCGACTCTAGCCTATTTTGTATAATATTGTGAGTGTGCATTTATTTTAATAGATTATTGTTAGGATTTATGTTTTTCATTGAGATTTCTCTTGCATTTTGCTGAAATTTAAATATTTAGCTTCTAAGTTCACTAAGTAGATAAATATGTAAAAAAAATTTTTTAAAAAATGTTTATAAAATAAAATAAAATGTATAAAAATATATATGACTTGACTATGGTATATTTGAGTATTATATATATAGTAATACATATATGTATATTGCCAATTTGTGTATTTGCCAATTTGTTTATTTTTTTTTTATAAAATTCTATAGTTTACTTCGTGACAGTATAATTAGTGTCTAGCATTAACAATTTAGTTAGTCTGTTAGACGTTATACATACATAAATATATACATATTTACATATAAATATCTAGACTTATTTCATTCCTCTTCTCTTCAGCTCTAAGTTACATACTTCAAATACTTCAAATCATTGTAGTAATATTTTTCTCTTGAAAATGGGAACTCAGGACATATCGGTATTGTTAATTGTATGTAACAGACAAAGGAAGGCGTGGCAGACCCCATAAAGTTTATATATTTATATATATATCGTTGGCAACAGCTGAATCCATTCATTCCGACGTCTGTCCTTTTGAAACGCGGCGATCTTAGAAGCTAAATCAGCTAGTTTTTCTTCTTCTTCTTCTTCTCTTGTTATTGATAGCTTGATTAGCTACGAGGTCAATCTCAGTCCACAGCTAATAAGTTTTGCCTATATGGCACTCAGTTGCTCCAAAGCCAGTCAGCGCTGTAGCAAAATATTTCGAATCTCAAATTGTTAGATTTTCATATATTATATACACATTCATATACAAACGCTCTACTACATTGACCTTAAGGTTTCTTAGCCACTTAATCATATTTATTAACAGAAATAACATATTTATAACAATTTTTTTTTTTTTTAATTTTTAAACTCTTTATTTAACTTTGTTATCTGAATTATAAAAATTTGACTACTTATTAAAACTTGAATTTTTTAAAATGATTTTACAGTTAACATATTGTGCTGAATTAGTTACGTATTTGAATTTTAAAAATTATTTGACCTATTTTTCTTTATTTCATTACTCTATAGTATTTATTAGACTTAGCAAAAATTTAGCGTAATATCATTGAAATAGAAAATTTGCTTATTTAACTTATTTAGGAACTTTCTATTAGCAAAAATCAATATTTATAAATATTTATTTATAAATATGCATAAGAAAACTTTATTAAACAATTTAAACATATAAATGGATAAGTGCGAAGGATTTCAAGTCTTCTCATTCTACAACCTTAGACTTATCGATCTTATGTAAAATTAAGTTTTGGCTTTTAGAATACGATCCTACGTTGGGCTAACGTCTGGATTGGCATATTTTAAGTAATCAGGCTGCAGTTCGTGTCTTTTCGTAAGCCGGAGCTGTCTCCATTGGAGCTATCTCCAGCTTGGCATCCTCGAATTCGCTCCCCGCCTCGCTCTTGGTGTCATTGTCATTCCAGGGCTGCGTCTCGGCCGTGCCCCAAATGAGGTAGATGATATTGCCGGCGAATAGCACCGTGGCCGCAATGCTAAACACAATCTGCCACTCGCTGCGCTCCGTGGGATGCTGCACCAACACGCCCACCACAAGGGGCGTGAGCATGGCCACCAAATTGGTGAAGGTGCTGAGAATGCCAGACAGTATGCTGGCATGGACAGGCGATAGATCAATTGTGTTCAGCTCGCTGCCAATTGTCGCCGCACTGCTGACGCCCACGCTGAGCGTGACCAGGGCCAGGGCGAGGGGCTTCTGTGAGGCCTCCACAAAGCCCAGGGCCATCATAATGACAGCCGGTGTCCACAGGGCGATGCTGTTGTAGGTCTTCCGCAGCGCTGTCAAACTGAGCCGACGCCCCTGCAGCAGCACGTCCGCAATGATCAGGTACACATAGCACATGGCCCACATCAGCAGGAAGGGCAGCGCCGAGAAGAACGCGTTGCTGTGCATCTGGAGGCCCAGCACGCCGTTCAGGTAGGCGGGCAGCTCCGTCTGCATCGTGGCCAGGCCCCACGTGTCCGCGCAGCGGGCGCAGAGCAGCGCATAGAACGGCGGCGATGTGAAGATGCCGCGCCACGGTATGGCCATCTTGCGCTCCCGCCTCAGGCTCCGCTGCAGGTCGCCAATGATGTAGCGCTGCTCGGCACGGCCAATGCAAGGCGCCTCGCTGGCCCGATTGGCCCCAAAGAGCAGCCACAGCATGCACCAGGACAGGCCGACGGCACCGAAGACATAGCTGATGCCCGGCCAGCCCCAGCTGGAGCTGGCCAGCATGCCGGCTGCGTACATGGCCAGGACGTTGCCGCAATCGAAGCCCGTGTAGGCGAAGGCGCCTAGGCGCGTGCGCTCCACCACTGGCGCCCAGTTGGCCAGATGCTGGTGGATGCAGGGCAGCGTGAGCCCGTGGCAGAGGCCCTGCATCAGGCGTATGGAGCAGTAGGCGCGCCACCCGGCCAAATAGATGCCGTGCGGCGTCAGGGAGCTCAGCAAGGCCGATCCGAAGCTGCCCAGGAAGAGCACCAGCTTGACGCCGAAACGTTTGCATAGGTAGCCGCCGGCAAACTGGGTCAGCGCCGAGCCCCAGTAGAAGCTGGACAGGACGTAGGATTTCTCTGGCTCCGTCCAGTTGTAGTGCTGCGAGTGTAAATGGCACAGTTCTTATTTGGGGGCATTGTGCATCTTAGAGGAGGCGTGGCACTTACGGGTACATCAACATTCACGGACGTGGCATTTGTCATGGCCACCACGGCCACGCCCACATTGAGCTGCAGTGTGGTATTAACGACCAGGCCCAGGAACAGCAGCAAAGCCTGCAGATGACGCAGTCCAAGGCGAGGCACTGAAATGCAAATTAGACACTGAAATCCATGCCCTCTATTTCCATTTCCACATCCATTTCCCCTTTCGGGCAACACCCACCTTTCTCCAGGTCCACATCCGTGTCGGTCATTCTGCTTGAGCGGCTTCGTTGTTGTTCGCAAACTGGGCAAAAGAGAACAAACAAATTCTGGAATCCCCTCAAGTCCAAATGCAACAATTTCTACTTCAGCTTTGCCTCTGCGACTCTCGATTTGTGTTTTTGTCTCACCTACAAAGAGGAAAAGTTAAGCGGCATTAAAAATGGTGTGTAGAGCAAGTAAAAGTGCTAAAGTCGATATAGGAGACATACGAGATACGGGGGCTAAGTATCTACTATTTGATATGCAAAAATTATTTGATAATCAAATCTAATATTCGACTAAAGGCATATTTCGATGAATGTATTAATTATATTCGATTTATAATTAATACATTCATCGAAATATGCCTTTAGTCGAATATTAGATTTGATTTGCTAATATCAATTTTAATAAATAATAAAAAAAATATATATATATCAATCAAGCTTCCAGTTCCATCGAAATATCATCTTTATTGCTCACAAATAATTTTAAAAAATGATCGAAACTTTTTTATTGGAAATAAATTAATTGAAAAGTGAATCAATAAAAGCAATTATTAATATTACAATATATTGTAAAATCTATTTATATTTTAAATGAACAAATTGCAGCAAGTATCAATCAGCTAGCTGGACTAGCTATATCACTTATGGGCTCTGTTCCGCCTTCTACCTCTACCAGAAATTTACTCACAACTAAACTTTTCTCTCAGCTTGATTCACACAATTTCAATCACATTGTTTCGTACAATAAAGCGAGCTTTCACAAAAACTCTAATGAGTTGACAAAAGCTTAAAAACTCATTGCCATAAATAATTCATGTGAGCAATAAAAAGGCCAACTCATTAGTCGAGCAATTATCGCGTAATAATTGATATATTTTACTTGATATATAGAGGGCAATATATTTTGATAGCTTCGCGATTATTTTACGGCTTCACACAAAATAAACTAGTTTTATATTGAATAATATATTTTTTCTTTTTTTTTATTATTTTATTCATTTCTATTGTAATAGTTTGCTAATTTTTGTGCTAATAAAAATGACTTTGTATTTACAAAATTGTATTTCAAGAGTTCAGCAATTAGCGAATGATCATATTTGTCAAAGAAAAGTAGAATAAATTGTAGGAAGTGGATAAATATATGAGCTCAAATAAATAAAAATAAATAAATAGTTCTTAAAGTAATTTTGAAAACAAGAAAAAAAAAATAATAATAATAATAATCATTTAAACTTAATAATAATAATAATTATATTTCTCAAAATTATTTTAGGTATTTCTATAACATATATTTCTGCAATCAACCATAATATTATATATATATATATACAAATATTAGGTTGAATTATTTATATAAAGCAGATCTCAAACGAAAAATTGCAAATTTACCAACAAAATTTTAATAAGAACAAAAATTTAATATATAGGCCAAAAATGTTTTTTCTTGAATAGACATAATTTCTTTAGTGAATATTGCAAAGAAAAAAAATTAATTTAATAAATAAAACAATATAAACAGAAAGCATTTTGAAGGTGAATAGAGATTCTCTATTAGAGACGAAATAAAATAGACATTAATATAAATAGATAATTATATATTTTTATATACATGTGAGTATAGTTTTTTTTTAAATAATTTTATACATTTTTTTTAGGGGAATAAAAACCCCATTAAATCCACGCTATCAAGTTGCTCCTGCGCTGAACCATTTGTTTACAGCAGAAGGAACGGGATTGAAAATTGAAACTTGACCAGGGAATTAGCAGTGGCACAAAGTTTTATTTGTTTGTTTTTGGTTTTGTTTTTGTTTTTCTTGCATTGTTTCGACGATTGTTTTGTGTGTTTGTGTGTCTGTGTGTCTGTGGGGCTCTTTGGCTGTGCTCAAAAATTTGGTTGACAATATCAATGAAAAGCAGGACAGAACTTTATAGTTGGTCTATAGCGACTGCGTGATACTTGTTCATGCTAAAACTAAATTCGAACTTTTTTTGCGAAAAATTGATGAGTGAAGTTATTCCACCCGCTAACGTTAATAATCTAATAAAAATATCTAGATATATTATTATTAATATTTATATTTCGTTTGATCAATTCATAGAGATTGTTATGTGATTGTTGTAATTGTAAGATTGGAATGTTCCCATATAACCTTAAAATTTTTATATGGGAATGGTTCAACAGAACAAGAATAAAGTCGATCATGCTGTAGGAGATGGAGTAATACTCAACTTGTCATTGTTTCCCAGGCAATATACCTAATATATAGATTATAATACGGAGTAATACCCAACTTGTCATTGTTTCCCAGGCAATATACATAATATATAGACTACAATACCTCCAGTATTACATTTAATAGCATAGATCTATTTAATAGATACACATTAACATAATTTAGTTCAAGCAAGTAGTCGAAAAGCCAATACACTCTCTTTGATTTTTGCCAACGGGTAGCGAAAATAATAAAAATGCCTGTATATACACAGTTGAATCTGTGTTGCTAACAATATACTTTTGGTGCCATTGACAGTCGCACACACGCACACGCACACGCACGCATACATGCACACACCGAAATTTGCAATCCAAACCATGCGTCTGTGTCTTTTTCAGTGCCAGCCATCTCTATACGAATTTTGTTGTTGTTGATTTCGCATGCTTTTTCAATTGTTCGAAAAGCTGCCAATACGAATCGGACAACGTGCTTTAGTTGTGGTGCTGACAGAGGAAGGGTTGGGTGGGGTGGGGTGGGCGTCTCTGATCTGGCGCTTACAGCCTACTAATGCAGCTATAAAGCAAATAGTAACAAAAACAACAACAACAACTAGCAACAATGCAATGGCTGCAGCATATTCGAACATATTTTTGGGTCCCATGCAAATATTTGCACATTCGAATTTTTGTTTACATTTTAGTGCAAATTTCGCAAATTACTTGCTTGACAGTCTGGCAACCCCTACGCGCACCACAACCCCCCACCGTCCAACCCCTCCACCCACAATTGAGCAGCATATCATGCAGTCGCTATGTGTGCTAATATATACATAATATATAATATATATTATTTTCCTTCGTTTTTATTTGGTTTTTGTTTTACATTTAATTTAAGTAAATTTGTGACATGTGCCGCGCATTAGGCCAGTGGCGTCGCCAACAGGGTTTCAGCCAATTACAAATTACGGACAGTTAGTGTTTTAAAAGTGTCAGCATTAGTTATGTATAATTTTTTCTATGTGCTTGGTTACGACCCCTTTCCTTCCACGCCACTGTGCACTGGGTCTATATTAATGTCTAGCAGTCGGCTTGCATTTATTAAAAACAAATAGACAACACACATATCTGACACTCTCACACCCACAACTAGACACACACACACATGCACATATGTTAACACTGCATGCAAATACATTTATGCATTTAGTGTTATTTTAATTTAAAATATCTGCCGATTTATTGTGAGAATTTTATAAAGCTTTTAGGTCGCAACGCAGCTACAACAATCGAAAGACTCTATTTATACACATACATGTGTGTATACATATGTATATGCAAACACATGTGTATGTGTGTATTTATGGATGCAACAGATATGATGAAATGAATCGAAGCAAAGCTTAACCGAAAACTCTCCGAGTGGATGGGATTCTTATTGGAACATAGCAATAGTTACCCGAATTTCCAATTGGACTTTGTACTTTTGTTTACACGCTCATTTTTCGGGGGGTATACTCTTCGCACAGTGTATTCTATTAATATCCAATTTTAGTACTTTTTACAATTTTGTTATTTTTTCCGACTAATTTCTCGCCTTTTTTTGCTTATTTTGTTCCGTTTAATCGTTTAGCGCGTCCGTCAACTGCGCTTTGTTTATGCAAATAACTTTTAGACGTTCGCTGCCAACCAATTTAAATCTCGCTTAATAAAGTTCTATCCCCGCTGCCTGTTTTGCTCTGCTCCTAAAGTGAATGGCGAATGGCATGGAAATGTTTTGTGGAAATCTAAAAAAGAACAGATCAGGCAGCGCTTGGCTTGAGCGCGTATCGTTTGGTAAATGTATTCAATACATTGCTTGGTGCTTCAATAAATTTAAAATATTTTCTTGTGGCTTTAATTGGAATTGATTGATCGGTTTTACCATCATGAGAAACTTGTCCAAAATTCACATTTAACCCCCTTTTGGCTTATTTTAAAAGTGAACGCTGCGTGTGCATACTGTCGAAAGCTGGCTGCTGCAACAGTTTCAGCGGAACAGCTGATCGTTGCAGATTTCTGTATACCATCTGTTGCTAACATGTTCTGAAAATCAACAGGTTAGATTATTGAAGTCGATATCGATAAGAAGTACGTTAACAAACTGTTCTGTGTACTGTCGACAGTTTTCTTGTGGAAAACATGCGTTTTCTTAAAGCTGCTTTGAATATGTTAACAAGTTGCATTTAATAAATTTATAGTTAATAAAAATGTGACGTTTAAGTATATTATATATTTTGCATTAACATAAGGCGTTGTCTATCGACTGCAAATCTAAACATATTTTTAACAGACGATCCAGATGGCGGTTAAATTTAAGCGCAATCATTAAACGGCGATTTTCGTTTTTTCTGCTACTTGACAAAGTGAGAGCTGTAAAACTAATTCTAATTTGTAGCTGTATTGAGTTAGATTGCAATTTCGAGAGTATTTTAAGTCATTTTGGTAGTTTTCTTATTGATCGCTGTTAATAGCAGAGCAGAAAAGAAATATGTTACTGCCTCTGTTATGTTATTCATTCGTCGGCGTTCTCTCTTTGGCGTCGTGCGATCTGCAATTCTCTCATTTACTGTTAATGTTGTTGTACGTACACATGTTTGCGGACGGCGAAATAAATTCAAAATTTACGAGTTTTAACTTTTAGACTTAGTTTGTGCGAAAGCAGCGTGCCTTAGAGCAATAAATGCCATTAAATTTCGGTTTTTAAAAAGGAAATAGCAACCGCGTACAAAATCGAATTGAAATATTTACATTGTGGCGACAAAACGATCGCAAAAGACGCGCAAGCAAATAAACAAATTTGCGGCCGTCATCTCGTCGTGTGTGTAAGTGTATGAATGTGTATGGATGGCTGTATTCGTTGCGTGTGATTCAATTGTTTAAGCAAACAGCAACGGCCACTGGGCAATTTTTTCAAAATCATTTAATTGCATTAACAACAACAACAACAACAGTAACCAACCAACAACCAAGTGAGCAGCTGCCCAAAAAAGAAAAGAAAAAGTAAAATATAGAAAAGGAAAAAATGCCGCCAAATGACGCGACGTCATAAAATAGCGATCCAATAGTAAAAAAGAAAAATAATATATATTACAAATATATACAGAAACGAGAAAATCAATTAAATTTGCTTCTTATGTCAGTTTTGGTCACACAGTTTCGTTTGATGTCTGATTAAAAAAATTTCGTGCATTTGTTCTCGTCTTGTCTTTTTGGTTTTGTTTTATTTTTAAGCTTTTTCGTGTATCCTTTTAACATACAATTCGCGCGTGTTGTGCGTTGTCCTCGTCTGGTCACACTCGCTTATCTGTCCTCGCGTCGCTGTTAACGAAGAAGCTGAAGTAGCGAAGTGAACACGCGCGTAATTCTCACATCCTCACACCCCACCTCTTTTCCCCTTTTTTGTGTTTGTGACATTTTTGGCATTCTTATTGCATTCCACGTGTGGTTCGTGTTTTTGTTTGTCCCGTCTCGAATATCGTCTCGTAAGTGCTTTTTGCCGCCGCCAAAATTCGAATTGTTTGCTAATGTTTTCATTGGTGTAATTTTCCTACAATTCTCTGTGCTTTGCCCTTTTCTAGTGATCCATTCTATAAATTTTCTACGTTTCATTTTAATGAACGTGCTAAAAAAGTTATTGTGAAAAAGACAACAGAAAAGAAAAACTAAACTTCAAAAAATCAGTTGTCAAATTTAACGGATTCAAATTCGACAACGAGAACATCCACAACATTTGACCCGTTGTTTTGTAAGTTTATTTAATTAATTTTGTTGATTTTTTATTTAAATTTTATAATTTATATTAGTTATAACACTAAGGTTTTTCTTATCACTGTTATCTCATCTAATTTTACCTACTTGTACATGCATCCAAAACTCTACCTAAACATATCTTTGTGTTTGTATATATGTACATATGCACACAAACTCACACAACATACGCATTTACATACATTATACCTGTTGCCCTCTTGTCTACCATCTCTACCATGTCCGTCTGTCTCGCTTGCACATGCTGGCATATTTGAACATTCATTGTCAACGGTTATTTCATGATTGCGCTTTGTTGTCTTCATTTTAGCTCTTGCCTGCCTTGTTAGTTTGCTTTGTTGCTTGTCGCGCAGTTGCGTTCACTTACATGCAAACAAATACTGGCGTCTGAATATAAGTATGTATGTATGTTTGCGCATGTATTTTCTTATTGTACATTCCAACCACCATTTCATTTTGGCTTACCTCACTTCACCTTGGCTGAGCCCAGCTCAGCTCATCTTTAATCGTATTTCGGCTACACTATGCCCTTATTGGCAACGCCGCCTTTAACGTTGCTCTTGTCTGCTCTGTTTTTGATTTTCGCCGCTCTGGCAGCGCTACGCTGTCGTTTTCATTTGCTCAACTTCATGGGCAGCGCTTCCTTTTTGCATAATTTCGCTGATTCATCGCAACGCTCAAAATTTAACGTTCTTTTTTTTCGCTTTTTGTTTTTGTTTTCATATTTTGGTTCGGTAGCAATCTGTCTGTGTTTCTCGGTCGCGTTTTTGGTTTTGACCACAGGCGAACGACATATAAGTACACACAATAACTTGATAGTGTTGTTGGTGCTTTTTGTTTGTTGCGTTGACAGTCAGTTTAACATTTTCGCTCAAGCGTAATGGAGCTTTTTGTCGGGGTCAGCTTTTAGCGTCCTAACCTCAATATTTGAATTTGATCAATGAGTTTTCTGACTCTTATTAACACCAATTAAATGCAATATCTAATCTTTCACTTAAACACTTTAAAGTATTAAATATAAAAATAATCAATTTTAATAAATTTTTTAAAAATTCAATTTGTTGTATATATTTGTAGATATACTTTGAAAACGTAATTTTTTTTTTGCACACACTAAACACTATATAGTTACATACTTAGTGCAACAAGAGCCGTTATTTTCTTTAAAGCTCATTTAACCCACCTATGCAGCTGTATTGTCCAGCTGTAATAACAAGAACAACAACAATAATAGCAGTGGCAACAACAAAAACAACAACAACAGCAGCAGAAAAATTAACTACTCAACGTCGCGTAATTTGCAAACAAAAGTCATTAAAATATCAAATTAGCGTCTGGCGTTGAGATTTAGTCAAGTTTCCCAATGATGATGTTGACGCCAGTTGTGCCTCGATGACTGTAAACTGAACGACTGACTATGAAATAACTGAGAATGTCTGGAAATGTATGCATGTATGTATGTGTGTGTCTATCTGTGTGTGTGTGTGTGTGTTTGGGTAGAAAAATGGAAAGTAAACCCAATGAGGCACCCGCATAAGCTTATTTGCTGATTATATTCTACGTATACATATACAATTATATATTATATATTGTATATGCATATGTATATGTATATAATTGATATTTGTATAAAGTTGGCAGACCGTACGTCACATCTGCTTTAAAACTTTCCAAAACTAACATAGATTTGCAGCCCAAATACATATGGCAGTTTTTTATCTCTATTCTTTATCTTAATATGGAATCCAAAAATAATATATAATTTATTTACCTAATACATTAGTTTCTATGATATCCATTCAGAAATAATGAATGTGACCCCATTAGTAGATAAGTGTAGCTACTGATAGGCGATTCTCTCTCTAGTACAATGATATTCCGCACATATCTTTTTTGGTAATACACTTATCGTATCATGAAGATTTTTCGTCAAATTAGTAAACGTTTTTTAAAATTAAGTTTAATTGTTTTGTTCGATTTTTCTTGTAAATTATTATTAATGAAAGCGCATTAAATATTCGACAACCAAATAGTTATTTTTTTTATCACTTAGCTTATCGGAAAAAAATTGCCGATAACAGAATTGACATGTGCGCACAGTGCGCTCTTCTTCATTGTCTAGGCAGGTGAGCAGAAAGGGAGACGTGGGCATTTTTTCAATGTTTTGCTGTTTTTGCAGTTAATTGAATCAAGCGGGACGGAGAAAGAGAAAGAAAGAGAGAGAGAGAAACCGAGAAAGAGATAGAAGCAGAGAGAGAGAGATAGGGAGAGAAACATGTTTTACCTGGACTGAGTCACACTGGAGCTGTATTGAGTTGAAGGAACCCATTGGTTGCGGGTTGCAAAAAGTATTTCAAGTAAAATTAAAAAAATAAATAAAAATATAAATACAAATAGCTACAACAATAAGATGAACATTATCAACATTGGATTAAAGGCATTTAAAAGCTAATTTATGTTTGGCTACAAACATTTTTGCTTACTTCGTAAAACGCGTAGTTGACTTGTCGATTGAACGATCTCATTCAAAATGCGGCCACACATCTCTTTGCTCTATATTTGGGCACACTCATAAACACGCATGCATAATGAGTAGATAAAGTTATCAGCTTACCAATACCCTATACATAACAGTTATATAGGTTAACTATATGTTAAATACTCTTAGTTTTGCAGTTAGGTATTTGCAAAAGGTATTTAAGATTCTCAATGCAGAGAAAATTTGCAATGGTAATACTTGTGCTTAAAAGTCTTTAATGGAATGAACAGAAGGAAAAACTATCTAGTAAAAAAATGCAAAAAAGGAAATTACAAATTTAAATAAATTCAATATCTCTCTAAAATATATGTATGTTCACTTTTTCCATATTTGCATACAGTTTTTGCTACCCCTTTGAGGTGTTTACAGGGCATACAAATTGTATCTGTATCTGCGCAAAAGTTCTGTGTGAA